TTCCTCCATGGTTCTCTGATTGAGAAAGAATTGTTTGCATGAATTAAGCCGGCCCGAAGGATCCTCAGATCCATCAAAAGTAGGAAAATCTATCTTCTGATTGGTTCTCTTGCCAGTGATTTTGAGGCAATCTATCACTTGCCGTGATAGGTCCTCTATTCAAGTCTCCACGCACATATATGATTCCTGCATCTGCTGCACTTTTGAGTTTATGTTTTGCACGAAGTTCTCGACCTTTTCCTGCCATCGTGGGTCTCCCATGACAACCGGCTCTGGTACCAAGTTGTTAAGGACCTTGGCGTAGGATCTGGTCATGGGTCGTTGAACAGGGAAATCTCTTTCAAGATCCTAGAGTTTGCTAGCTAGAGACTTCCTAGAGCAACCTATTATGATTTGAAGAAAAGGGAAAAGAAGAGCAAGAAAAGAGCTTGTTGGAGGAAGCTGTGACCTCTTAAGAATTATGATAAAAACTTGCTTATCTTATCCATAACACGTTCTCTTTTTATAAGAGGTTACACGATTACATAATGATTTAATTTTTTAATTATAGCCTTTGTTTAAGGCATTAATTCAGATATTACAATCAAATAATGTAACAGCTATTATTTATAATTGTCGCCATTTGTTTTGCTGTTGCCATTTTCGGTGTTGTTCCCTTTCTTACTTTGTTGACTCCTTGTGTAATTGTTGCCAATGAATGCATCCTTAACAATTTGCATATCTTCAATTAGCTGATATATATACTAAAGCGTTGCCAATTTCTTTTTTTCCATTCTCTACACATCTTCATGAAATGTGTTTTTCTTAGACATAAAACAGGAACAAAGGGTTATATTCTTATGGATTTACACGCTAGAGAAGTTTTTATCTCAATGTTCAATTTTCAGAAACTTGTTTTCCTTTTACTAATCATACTGTTCCTATAGATTTTTCTTTCTTAACAGACACTTCTCACTTGCATTATCCATCTTTTCTATCTTCAACTTCTTTATCTCTTTTATCGTCCATTAAACTATTACCTTTTAATTACTACTTTTGTCATTCAATAATCAGATACTAGACATTCAACTAGAAATAGAAAGCCACCTTCCTATTTGCATGATTATCACTGTAATCTTACTTGTATACAGGTTCTAACATCTTCTTTAGATACAAAGTATCATATCCCTTCAATTCATTCTTATTATAGATTCTCAAAACCTTCTTTTTTATTTTGCTTGTAGTCTTCAACCGTTATAAAACCTAAAACTTGTAACCAAGCAGTGAAGCATGATAAGTGAGTGTAGGCTATGAATTTTGAGTCACAGGCACTTGAATAGAATAAAACCTGGTTTGTTGTTCCCTTACACTTTGGCAAGGTTCCTATTGGATGTAAATGGGTATAGAAAAGTGAAGTATAAATCTGATGGGACAATTGCGAGGTATAAAGCTCGTTTGGTTGCTAAAGCTTATATACAGATAGAGGGTCTTGATTATTTAGATACCTTCTCCCCTATAGCCAAAATGACTATTGTGAGAATTCTTCTAGCTTTAGCTTCCATTCATCAATGGCATCTTCATCAGTTAGATGTGAACAATGCCTTTTATATAAAGATTTATCCAAAGAAGTTTTTATATTATCTCCACCTGGTTGTCCCTCTATTCCTGCTAATCATGTCTGTAAGCCACAAAAGAGTATTTACGACCTAAAACAAGCTAGTAGGCAATGATTTTCGAAGTTCACTTCAGCGTTACTCAATTATGGTTATAAACAATCCACTTCAGACTACTATTTATTTTTCAAAGCTAGTGCTAATTCCTTTAATGCTCTTCTAGTTTATGTGGATGATATCATCCTAGCAAGTAGTGATTAAACGAAATTGAATTTGTTAAAAGCTTACTCGATGGATTGTTCAAAATTAAAGACCTTAATCAACTTAAATACTTTTTAGGATTAGAGATGGCTAGAAATAAAGTTTTGAACTTTTAGATGAGATAGGAATGTCAGCTTCCAAACCAGTTAGCAACACTAATTAATTCACATTTGAAACTGAGTTTACATGACGGAGATGACTGTCACTGTAACGCCCCAAAATTTCGGATCTTAAAAAAATGGTATTATTTTATTGGTCATGAATGGTATCACTCAAGCGGGAAATAATATTTTATTTGGATCCGTGAAGGATATTGAGCATAATTAATATTCATGAAGTTAATTACACTTTATGTGATTGGTCTTAATTAATTTAAGTTAAGATATAAATTTTTCATGATTAATTAAGTAATTAATTATTGATAAATAGTAATTTACCGGTCTGTGAATAGTACCATCCGATCGAAAAATTACCTATATCTTTAGCGAAAAACGTTAAATTTGTATTTTAGATAGGTGCCTCCTGCATCGAACGTGGCATCCGTTGCTTATTCCTCCGGGTCAATGGGTGTTACAGTCAGACCCTTCTTCATACAGAAAGCTTGTTGGCAAATTGATTTATCACTTTTTCTGTTAATTTAGTCAGTATGTGGCAGTTCCTACATCAGTTCATCATACAACTTTAAATGGAGTTTTGAGGTATATCAAATCTGCTCTAGCCAATGAGATTGTATTTTCCTTCTAATTCTTCTGTACAACTTAATGCCTTTTCAGATTCTGATTGGCAAGCTGCATTGCTAGTAGGAAATCCACAATTGGTTTTGCAATATATACCGGAGACCCTCTTGTTAGTTGGAAATCTCAAAAGCGGACAACCGCTTCCAGAAGTTCTTCTAAAGCCGAGAATAGGACCTAGCAGCTGTCACTTGTGAATTCCAATGGATAAAACTTTTGTTGACAGATCTTCATGTATCTAATCCTTTTCCTACTAATCTCTATTGCGACAACAATTTTGCACTTCATATTGCTCATAATCCTACTTTCCATGAAAGAACAAAATATATAAAATTAGATTGTCACATTGTTAGGGAGAAACTCAATGCTAGATTGCTCCATCTGGTGCCAATCTCTGCACATATTCAGTTAGCTGATATATATACTAAAGCATTGCCAGTTTCTTTTTTCCAAAACATGTTATCCAGTTGAAATGCTCAATATAAGGGTATTAATCCTGATTTCTTGTTAATTAGTTAGTGTTTCGATGAACTGGCATTTTTTTTTCAGCGTACAGTTGTAAATGAACTCTTCTTTCCTTTTCTCGATACAGAAATATAATTTTCTCTCCTCAATTGTACTTTCATTATAACCAGCAAAGTATAATTAATTAGTATTTATAGGAAGTCCCGTAAATTCATCATTTTGATGTTATGTAGCTACTGAAACACAACAGAGAATCGCAACTCCATTTTGCCATTCATTGTATGAATACATTCATGGATTTTCACAATCTTAATTTTAATATTTTGAGTGAAGAAATTTAGTTCATGCACCACATGTATGCAGACTTTCTATTACAAGGAACATATTATTAGGAGACTTAGCCTTGGTACAAAAAAAATAGGGTGAGCATTTGACCAATTTGGTTAATTGAGTAATATTTTTTACCAAAATAAATTGAAATTTTTTTGACTTAACCCAATTTGATTGAATTAATTATTTAGTTAAACTTAATCGAACTATTTTCATCGGATCACTTTTGATGATTAACCAAACGAAATTAAAAAAAACAAAAGCTTAATTAACTAATCCAATTTAACCGAAATTTATGATTATCCAACTTTAACCAACATAAAAATTAAGCGAACTTATCAATCACTATTTAATCAATATAAAAATTAAAATATTTTTAATTTTTAATTTTATTGTTTACTTAATTAAAAATACTTAGTTTTAAGAGTCGATTAATTTGATTAATTCAATTAAATTAACTTTTAACTGAACCTTTAATCGATAACCAAAAATTTAATTTTTTTTAATCAAACTTTTAACCCAATATTTATTCAATGAACCAAATTCAGCGAAACATTAACCGAATGCTCACCCTATAAAAAAACTCCTAAAAACACAGTACAAACCAATATTTTTAAAATCGGACTGGACTGGCCGGTTGAACCGTTTAAACGCGAAGCGGTTTCTAGTCCGGTCTGGTTTAACATTAAAAATCGGATGACATAAAAACCAGGTAAAATCGTCTAAAATTGGAAAAACCGAAAAACCAGACTAACCCAGAAGAACACGATTTTTGATTTTCAATGGGAAAAAAAATTAATTTAATCAATATCCAAATTCTTCAAGAATCTCTAATCAAAAAATTAGAAAAAAAAAATCTTCAAGAATCAAAAACATGTCCATAATCAAGAAACATATAATTTAAATCAACCCGTAAACAATAGAACTCAAAATAAGGACCAAAATCTAAATCTTCTCCTCCTTTCATTTCCCTTCGTAATTATATATATATATATAATATGATAGATGGAGTAAAATGTATAGAAAGAAAAGAAAATGACCCTTGTAGTAGAAGGAGATTCAGAGATGAGAGGCTTGAGTTTGGAGACAAAAGAGAGGAGATATGAATGGATGAAAAAATGAGAGGGCAAGTGGCATGGAAAGAAAAGAAAATTTATACACATTTCATATCAGGGTTTAATCCAATGGCTATAGTTGAATATAAAAGTATGATCTAAACGTAGTAATTTGAGGAAAATGGATAGCCTTGATTAAATTTTAGATTTGACCTAAAGATTACAAATATTTGAATGATGGATCTTATTTCATTTATAGTAAATAGAAATAAATGTTAGACATATGTGAGGGCTTCATTTCATTTACTTTTCTTCTTGTAAGTGAGCCTGGCCAAATTTATTTATTAGCAGCTTTATATCATTTTTTAGAATTTTATCTTTCAAAATATTAAATATAATTTTAATTATAAAATAAAAATTAGTAGTTGTACAAACAGGACTGATTGATTTTGCTCTTATTGAGTGCGTGGATGCGTAGGATACTATAATGACAAGGTTTGATACAGTCACAACTTGAAACGTGTCCAGTCAGCTAAAGGCATTGAAAGCCCATATGGAAAAGCTGAGTCTAATAGTCTATGGTACCATTATGAATGATTTGATTACTTGCACGAAACAAAAGATTACATAACAAGAAAGAAAGGAAGAAGATTGGCCAAATTTTATTTTTACTTACAAATCTAATCCAATCACTTGCAAGACTCTTGCTTGAATCCTATCCTCTCATTCCTCAAATCATATTCTACGAGAAAATTCTGCATCTGGAAATTTCCCAAAATGATCCCCGGCCCAACATCCGCCTCTGGGGCCTCCACTACCCCGTCAGACACTACCGTCAAGCACGCCACATCCCCTCCCCCAACCAAAGCAAAATAGTTCTCCAATGGTAGTTCCACGTCAGCACCACCCTTGAAATGAAGACTCAATTGAGGAAGGTCTAGCGTCTTAGTACCCGAAACGTTAAAACAAGGCTTCAGCCCAATTTTCTCCTCTATTGCCACATCTCTCTTATAATTCTTCACCTGTGAAATGAACTCATTGCTTAGCTTCTCAAAAGCCTCACGTGACATGAACGTGAAAGTCGTCCCTGAGTCGATGATGGTTCCGCCATTGCCATCCTTTCCCGGAGCGAGGTACTTGTACGGAATCTTGACGGAGCGGCCGCCAACGCTGATTCGCCGGAGACCCACGTAGTAATAAACTGAAAATGCGGGTTTGTCTTCCGGTTTTGGGTTTTTAAGCAGCGGCGTGTATACCAATGCGGTGGTTTTCTTGTCAGAATCAAACTGAGAATCAAGAACAAGAGAGCTGGTTTTTGCAGTATCATCGAATTTATGAGAAAGTAAACAGTAAGAAAACTTACTGAGGCCAAGTTGTGTGGGTAAAGAAGAAAGGCCACGGCCAAAACCGGCAATTCCCGCTGGTTGGCGGGAAGAGACAACGGAACATCCAACAAGAAAGTTAGATACAGTTAAGCCATCGAGATGGAGAGTCTCTGATAGTGCAAGGCCTCCAGTAGAACCTGAACCGTAGAGGATAAGATAAGGAGGGCAGATCTGAGAGCAGTTTTTACAGTTTGAGCACTGTAAATCGTTTTGGTGAATCCAAGAGCATTTGGGGTTGTTACAGCCAATGATTTTGGAAGATGATGAATGTTTGGGTATAAAAGGTGAAATTTTTGAGGCGGAGAAAGTGCAGCTCTTGCAGCGGTAGTGGATAGTACATGGGAACCAGACAAAGTCACTGCCAGTGTCCATGATAAAAGAGAGAGATTGAGGTGGAGTACCAAAGCTGAGAGAAATGGAGTAGCCGCCATAGCTGTGCGAAAAGACTGGAGTACTGGTAGACTGGGGGTATTTGAGGTGGTGGGCTCTGGTTTGAGAGGTGGAGACTAAATGGTTCAACTTTTGGAATGAATCTTGATACGGATTTTGATTTGTGTAAGAATGTGATATTGGAATAGTAATGGAAGAGACAAAGCCAAATTTAAATATGATAGAGAGGAAAGCTAAAGAATAGAGCATAGAACAAGAAATAGAAGCCATGGTATCCCTTTTCGCCTTTCCAGCAGTCACCTGTGGGTCTGAGAGAGTCAGAAACAAAGAAATAGAGAGAAGGAAGTAATCCTTTTTGATGAATTATTATGATTGACAGAGAAACAACATGGGATAAGGAGGCAGGTAGGTTTGGGAAATAAAATTCTCTGTGTTTGCCTTATACTCCCATTAAAGCTGAAATGGTTTTAATTTGTAGAACAACTTAAAAAAAAAGATATTAAACAATTTTAATTGATATTTTATCAAATTTTTAAATACGGGATAATAAATCATTAACTTTTAAAAACTGTAAGCGAAATGGGAAAAAAATTAAAAGTTCAAAAACTGTGATAGTTTTAATGGGACGGAGGAAGTAATGTTACAGCTGTCACTGTGCATGGCCTTACAAAATCTAAAGTGGCAATCTGCTAATGGATTGAAATTTCCAATTGTTACCATTAATAAGCTGATGCACTTTTAGGTCCCAACAACAGTAGCTTGAACATGAAATATGATCCCCTTCGTAGAAAAAATAAAAAAACAAAAGGGTATGGAGTATCGACCACAGAAGCCTCGTTTGTAAACTGTGTGGGGGTCCTAAGAACCATAACTTCGCTTTTGGCTGTTGCTAAACCCTTAGGCAAGAGGCATGTGAATGGTACCTTCTCTATCTTTATGCACCATTTAGACTAAATTTGTACCTTACTTTTGCCGCACTTGACCTCCTCTTCTCCAGCTAGTAGCAGCGACAACTCTGGAATTGATGGACCTACATGCTCCTATTTACAATTCCCAGAGATAATTTTAGGTCTCTAGAAATTTATCCGAATTAGATACCAGAAACTAATGGCATTAAGATTTACCATCCACATATCCTGATAGAGGATTCCATCTCATCATTATCATCCATAATTTATAGTCAAGTCAAATTCAAATTTACCTAGTAATAAAACATCTAATGGCACCGACTAACTTACAAGATTCTCTTTGATGATCATATATTTCTTTCAAGTTAAAAATCAAAATATCAATTACGTTCAATTGACAAAAATATAAAACATTGATGTGCAGAATCTCTATTAACCATCACAATTCACTTCCACCTATACCCTTCAAGATAAAAAATATTAAAAAAAAAAAAAATCAAACATGGAGATAAGTAAAATAGAGAGAGAAGATCATTTATAGCTGCTGCTTTGCCTTTTTCCGTGCCAAAAAACGTTCCTTTGCTGCAGCCAGGGCATCTTCATTTCGTTTATGATGGTCATTCATTGGTTGGTTAGCTATTGGTTGTTCACTTGAAGTTTTTTCTTGTGAAGAGTTAGACGCTGGCTTATCAGAAACTGGCATGAGAACCAACGACTCGCTGTTCCTCTTATGAGAAGGGGAGGAAGAAGTTTCATCCCCATGCCCCTCTTTTACCCTGGATGATGACTCAAAAACTGATTTCGAGTCTGCCAATAAATGGCCTCTGTCTGATGTACTAGCATCCAATTTATCATCCAACTTCTCTGGCTTCTTAATCTCAGTTTGTCTCTCTTGCTGCCTTGACTCTCTGTCGTTTGCACCAAATGCAACATTTTTTCCAAGATTGAAGTAGAAGTCACTCAAATCACTTTTCTTGGTAACCTTTGGAACAAGAAAACAAACATGAATAACATGTTTAGAAGATTCCTATTAGAATTGCTTACCAGTTCACAAACACTAGAGAACTCCAAGTTCAATAAGGCCAGAATTACACAGTAGCTTAACTAGGGATTGTAATAGACTAATATTTAGAGACAAAACACATATAAACTAATATTTAGAGACAACAGGTGACCGACAACATAGAATTGAACATTTGGTTCAACTCTTGAATATTACACTACTTCCAACAAATTATAAACATTTAAAAGGTAACTTAATAGAATTTTAAAAAGTAGGCTAATGCATCAAATTGACTCTTGACTTTTCAATTGGTCCAATCAGACTGAAAAGATTCTTCTAGGGCAAATTGACCCTTGAACATTTACTTTGGTCTAATTGAGCCGAAATTATCCCACAACTCGCATATCCAATGCATGTCCGTCTTTTCCATTTTAAAAAAGTCAATTATTTAAAAAATAAAGAAAAATAAAAAGTAAACATAAATAAAGAAAAAAGAATCATCAGATTGAAAGAAGATATGCCGAAATTAGAAACTCTAAAATCTTTGTACTAAAAATGAAATATACTTATTATGATTGTGATAGTTCATTACTAATTCACATTATTACACTTAATTTGAGCATATATCTATTTTAAAATTTGAGCTGTGGAATTAATTTAGAATAAATTGGCCCAAAATTCGAAGTCCAATCGTCGATTTGGCCAAAAAAAAAATTTTGGATCTCATTAGACCAACTGAAAAAATGTAAGGGCCAACTTGATACTTAATCGTAAAAAGTACATAGATGTAGAACCCATAAATAACAAACCCGAAAATTAGAACCAGTGAAGCACAAGCAATAAACATTATATCAATAGCTCTTCATGCAACTTGATTGTCAATAGACTCTACACCGAGAATAGACAGGTTAGGAAATTCTTCTTCAAAAGTTAAGGCAAAAAGCAAACCACATACAGATTCCGGGATTTAAGAAACCATTGGGAACTCTATAAGAACTTTATTTAGGAACAACTTGCCCTGAGAATTTTAGATGGTCCCTCAACAAATGTTATAAATCACTTCATTTTAGCTGTCATGCAACTTTTAATTTGTAAAATAAAATTCATCAACTCATCAACCCATTGCAATAAAGTGACTATTCTAAGAATTCAGGTAAAGCCCTTAGCTGACATGGCAAACACGAGGCCATTTTTAAAAATATATATATATATATATATATATAAAGCAGCCCACAAATGAGAACTTACTCAGTTCTTTCTCAATCTTTCTCCCCTTTGTTCTCCTCTCTGACACAAACTTCCATTTTCCATTCCATACAAGTTCATTTTGGATCAAAACAAACTAAATTTCCTCAATTTCTAGAGTTTTGCAACCAATTCTAATTGCAGAAGATCAGAGTAAAGGCACAAATTTTCAAGAGAGGTTAAGGCTTTCAGAAAGAATACTTGGAATGGCAATAGAGACATAAGATGGTCTGGACCAAAGAGTAGTCTATTTGAGTGTCAAACAGCCATTACATACCAGAGCTTGGGCAGTGGCATATTGGCAATGGCGTAGACACAGAAAAAAAAAAAAAAAAAAGGGGCATTACATAACCAGAGCTTGGGCAGTGGCATTTGGCAATGGCGTATAGACACAGAAAAAAAAAAAAAAAGGCGGTGAGAGGTGACACTTGGATGTGAGACAAATGGGAGAGAAAAGAGAATTTTTTTGTTTTCAACTCATTTCGTTAAAAAGCATTGTTGATGAAGCAACGCACGTCAACTCCAGGCAAATGCTTGAAATGGATTCTTTACCAAGAGTGACCTTATGCCATAAACATGACATGAGGTGATTTCTATTATTTAAATTAAAACTAGATGGACAGCAGTGAAATTAAAATTGATAAATTTAGGAACTTGCCATGACTCTAACATTATTTATGTGCAAAGAAAAAGGACAAATATTCAAAACAAATCTATGCTAATCATATGTATGTCTGATATACATATGCTCATCCACTACAAACAGTTGACAATTGAACTTATGACAAAGCAAAACATTGATATGTCATTTATTAAAACGCAAAATTTTCTAATTGCTGCCAAATACATAGGAAAATAATTACTTATGTCAAAAAATAAGCTTAAAAAAAGTATGTCAACTACGAAAAATCATAGTTACAGAAATGACAACAATGCTCACTCCCAAAACAGACAAATAGAAAAGGCAATACTAAGTAGCAAATACATCAACGTCAAGAGGCACGTTCAGCAGTAAGTATGTATGCCAAAAGGTACTGGACTATACTAAGATATAAAAATCAGATTTACACAAGGACCCAAGCTAGCAATAAAATCAAACAGAAATAGTAAGCAGCTGTATTAGATGCAAGGGAAAAAGTTATACATTACATCACCTCCTTTCTCCTCCTGAAGTTGACGCTGCGTTCCTCCTCATCCATTGTGCCTGCTCCGCAGGTTTTTTCTTGTAAGCACTAGTGACAAATTTGTCCTTTGTCTGCATAGAGGTGGATCATCCTTGCTTTCTTCCTTAGCAAGTTTTTTCTCTCATATATGACCTCATGTTCTCGCTGCCGTTTGTTCTCGCTTTCTTGATCAAAGTTTTGAATATATTTAGGCTGCAACAGAAGTTAATACAAATTATTCTTGTTTCTCTCAACACAAAAAAAGCTTTAATTTATCCCCTCCAAAAAAAAAATAAAGAATGAAATATCATTACTAAACATCTTTTTAGAAAAAAATATTTGTGATTCATATATAGGGCACCTAATTTTGAAATAAGGCATTCAAAAGATAAACCCTGTTTCTTCTATTTTCTCTTTTTTTCCAAAGCACAGTCTTGTAGTTGGAATAATAAGTACCTTTCTTTCCTTTGAGCGATCTTTGTATCTCGAGGTTTGAGCAAGTTTTCTGCTTCATTTATCGTTCAATAAACAACCATCATAATTCAAAAACTGAAGGGTCTCTTCTTTAGTGCTTCTTTATGTTGTCTCCTAATCTTACAAACCAGGAAAAAAAAAACAAAAAAAAAAAAGCGATAATAAGAACAATAAGGACAAAAAATTACAAAACATCCAGAAAGGAAGTCATGCAGTATTTGATTGAAAAGGGGGAAATTGAAGTGAGAAAAGGAACGAAGAATTCATCAAGGGGAAATCAACCAAAAAAAAAAAAAACAAAGCATTACTTACATCCTTGAGGAGGACTTGTTTCTTGTGGACCTGGCGTTGTAAACTCTCCTTTTTTTCAACATTATCCTTTCATTCGGATCGTCATTGCGGAAAGCAAGGGGACACAGGAAGTGGAGGCCTTTGCAGCGTTCTTGTATCTGCTGGCGGTTCGCTACCCTAAGTTGCAAAAACCGTTTTACTTTTTGCACTTCACTTGCAGAAAATACATTACCCAAATATTTAGTTTATTCTTTTTTGGAACTGGGCTCGAAAAAATTTACCATTTATCAAAATCTTTTTGAGAGTACATAATCGATTTCTATTCGTTGGAATCTTATTCATTTAATATGGAAGTCAGCCAATAAGAAAATATTACAACCACATCAAAAAACTTTGAGGGCATACTCAGTTGCAGTTTTGTATCTGCTAGATAAATTTGCAGGAAAAAGGCAGCAAGAAGAAATGAAATATTTTTCGTGGGCAAAACCATAAGATTTTACCTGTGAATTTCATTCTCACACTACAAACAGGCGGTACATTAACTACTCTTTGAGATTGGGGTAGGGACCAGAAGCAACACCGACTCACAGAAAAATTTTAGAAATCCATCTGATTTTGCATGAATAGTGCTAGTAAATGGAAGGGGAAGAACTCATATCTAGCTACTAAAGCTTGCGGCCTACTTCGAATTTATTTTCAAGTAGCGTTTAAACAATGAACCCATACTAACATTGTTTTGTTGCATTTCCAAAAAAAAAAAAAAAAAAAAAAAAAAAAGACAAACAACAACTTCCTTTCATTTGTGAACTTGAAACACTTCTTCATATTCACATCAAAAGGTAATTGTATTCAGCAATTAATTATTGAATGTTAACTTTTTCTAGAAATATAAAAATAAAATCTTGTTAAGGAATTTAGTCTGTAAATAGTTCTCTATTAGGAAATAGTTCCTAATTAGTTTTCATGATTTGTTATTCCTTAATAGCATGTAGCATAGGTATTCCCTTATATATAAACCTATGTATCGATTGATGTGATACAAGAAATACAACTTACGAATATTTTTTCTTTTCTTAACATTGGTATCAGAGCCTTCCATTTCACCAAAAAAAAAAAAAAAAAAAAATAGGAATTTCCCGAAACTTCCCTTGTGAGAACGCCATTGCCACCCCTAGGAAGCCTTTCTTCTAGGGGTTAGTATTTTTCCTACTCACCCACCGACCTCAGGATATTCTCCAGCCGTTGATCAGCGCCTCCCCCAAAATCCGGTTGCGGATTCCAAGTGCATGGCCCCCCACACGTCAACTCTTTCTTCTGGCTCTGAGTTTCATGCGCATGGCGCATGTCCAGTGGTCTTTTTCACCTCTGGTTTCCTCTCTCCGGCATTTGACTTAGAAGAGGACATGCAACCCAGTGAGTTGCATCGTCTATTCTTGGGCTTTATTTCAATAGGTTTGTTTTGCTTGCGATTCTGTTGCAGCTGTTGCCTGTCGGGCAGTCTTCTTTACTGCTTGATTGTTGCTTTAATTTGCGGATAGAGGAAACCTATCTTTTCCTTGGTTGTGACAATTGTTTTAGGTAATTTCGGTGATTTTTCTAGAGCAGTATGGGTATTCTGCTTTTGAACCTTCTCCTTTGTCAGAGAGCCAGTGCAACCCTAGTGAGTTACATTTGTGTTTTGGCCTTCAGTTGTGTGCGCTCCGTTTTGTCCAGGGTATCCTTTGCTTGCGTTTCGATATCTGCGCTACTGGGCTTTCCTCTTTGAGGCATTGATTATTGGAAGCTTGGAAACAGCGCTTATGAGTTGTTTTTTTGGTTCAGTGAGAATTTGTTTCGACAACCTAAGTTGTTTTTGTTTGATTCTGCACTTACATATTTGGTTTGGGATTCGTTTCCATTTGCTTATATTGGAGGTAGTTACCAGATTTGTGTTTTGCTGAAAGAAGTAATTTTCATAACAAGTTTGAGCATGATTAGCAAATCTAATGCTCCAACTTGAGGGGAAGTGTTAGGATTTAGTTTATAAACTTAGAGCTCTATTTAGGAATTAGATTCTAAATTAGTTTATGATTTGTATTCCTTAAATAGCTAGTTAGCATGGGAATTCTCTATATATATTTTAGACCTTATGTAATCAAATTGATTTGGATACAAGAAATACAACTACAATATTTTCTCTTAACAAATCTCAAGCCCCAGAATTAGTTTAATCACGCAGATATACTTACAAATTATTAATTAATATTTATATTATTCTGCTTATTTTCATATGTTTATTGTGACCTAAGTTTGTAAATAATCAACTTTCCTTCTTCACATGATAAACAATTAACCACACAGACTTTTCCTTGAAGGAAATGCATACTTGCAGCAAAACGCAGTGCCATCAAATCCTTTCAGGTACACCAACAAAGTAGCTTGCTTGTTTTATACATACAGATACTATAAACCAAACAGAGAACAAATCAAAGGCTTGTAACTAACTTAGGAATCTCAAAGCCCTTCAACTAGTATATCGACCAAATTAAACTTGATATTCACATAGAATATATCATCGGATTATATTACTATAAATATTGGTTTCCCAAGGAAATCCAAAAATAGGAACTCTTTGCTAGAAAAAAAAATTTTAAATTAAAATTAAAATTAAAATTAAATACCTGAAAAACTTGTGCTATGCAACAACAAAGGGATGAAAGGGAAAGTGTAAGGTAGAGCGAAGGCCAGTTACAAGTAAAAATTTATGTTTCAAATTAGCCATCTAAACTAGCCTGGCCTCTACATTTCAGTCGTACATTATTCAAAATATCAATCTGTTGGTATTGCATTTATTTTATGATTCCAAATTGACTTGATTTTCATCAACCACACCTTAGCAGATACAACATTTACGGGAAACTAAGCGGCTAACAAATTCCCTTCTCTTTTTTCTTCTTTTAGATACACATTTCCAAGAAATTAATTAGCTTCAATTCAACTTAAACAAGAAGCTTTTGACCTGAAAGTGACCTAAATCACATTCTTGGACTCAGCACATTTTTTATCTGCATCTGGGGAGAAAGAAAGGAAAGTGAAGATTAAATTCAACAATACAGCTCCTCTTTTCATCTACGATATAAACATTTTTAGTATTTCTTCTGAAAAAGTTAACCCTTTTAGATGTAAAATAACAAATAAAACATGCACAAAACCCAACAAATGCAAAAATGAAACAATTTAAATCTATCTTCTTGGTCCCATTGGCTAAACCCACATATTAACTTCAAACAATATTATTCAACAAATTCCTCATCTTGTTGTTTATATGTAATTTATTATAAAAAGGAGGAAAAGGGGTAAAAGAATGAAGGCAAAAGAGAAAATAAATAATCAGAATTAAATAAAAAAAAAAGATAAAGAAATCGAAATGGAGGAACCTTGGCACTGAGTACTATGGTGTAAGCCAAGACTTGCTGCGGAGGTGCACGGCCGGCAGGGTGATGGAAGCACTGGGAAGGTGTATGAACAAGAAGGACTTGTGAATGGAGGTAGAACCCATAGAAGGAGAGAAGAGGAGCGGCCTGGGGTTAAGGAAGCCATCCCTGACTGACCTCCTCTTCCGTATCCATCGTCGGACATTAAATAAGCATATATATATTCAACCAACACAAAACATGAAATACACTCACTTATATATTCTTTATCCTTCTTAAAAACACACAAGATTAAGGGGCAATTGCTTGCCCAACACAAAAATTTAGAGGCTCTTTCTATTACTAAAATCATAGATTTACACACCAACTAACCCAATACCCTTACAAAAATTTGAACTTAAACCTCCATTCCTGTTTTGAGTAGTCAAAATTTATAAGAATTAATTCATAACATCTGTCATTTCTTAGAAAACCCTTAATCCTAGCTTAAATCATAGCACACAATCTAGCAAAATTCATTAATCAAGGACTTCATTTTAATACACCGTTCTAATCTCTCATCATCAAAGAATTTAAAATTAACAATATGGCTGCTGCCATTACACTAACTTCAAGTTTCTTCACCAAAACTCAATATTATACATGACAATCAATTCATTTCCCAGCATAATTATTTTGAGTGATACCATTCTTCTTAAAATAATATAACTCATAAAAATAGCTAGTTAAATTATTGCTATACTAAGAAAACCTTTGATTTCTTTTACAAAAAATTGCAATGTAAGCAAAATAACCTACTTGTTTTATATTACAAGAACTCATTTTATCTGCCAATTTTAGATAGCAAAGATCAAAACTTCCATAAAAATCTTCTGGCATATATATTTACATATTCCTACTTAAACTTATTTTAAATCTTCAGATTTATAGCTTCTAACGTATAATTTTAGAAAAATTCTCGAAATTTAACTCGCATAACAATGACTAAGGAATTTCCATTTCTTACAATCAAACCTGCTTAATGCATTAAACCCTTTGAACCATGCTTCAAAGAATTCATAAAATTATACTGGAGATTGGTTGAAAGTTAATAACCTTACTATATAATGTGTCCAGAAAAAACTAAAATATTTCCGGTTTACAAAATTGACCGTAATAGCTCCAATGCTCAAAAAACTTGGTACTGTCGGTTGCTAAACTTGGGCCGGATCTGACACGAGGACAGTTGGCTGGCGAGCTGTTACGGATCTAGAGAAGGGCCTTGAGTCGGCTTTGGTCTTTGGGCGGGTTCCTTGCCAGATTAATCGGAGAGAGAAGCTTGAAGGAGGGATGTGCCGATTGGAATTAGCACAGCTCGCCCTTTGCCTTTTGCTGCGCTAGGCAGAAATTAAAAGAGAGAGAGAGAGAGAGATCGGAGGTAAGAGCAGCGAATAGAGTGATGCTGAGAGATGAGATCGATCAGCCGCCTAGTGGGTTGGTTCGCCGGAGCATTGAGAGAGGACAGTGATGCTGTGACGGGATCGATAAGAGAAACGTTAGCAGCTCTCTTCTCCCCTTGTTTGGAACACTAAGACAGGCAGAAACGAAAGGGGTAGTTTGATTCGGAGAAGTGCCTGGCGGTGAGGTGACTGGGCGCGTGCTGAATAACGGCAATTTCAAAAAAAACAAAGACAAACTAGTAGGGGAAGGGTTTGGGCAATTGGGAAGAGAGAGAAGGAAAGTTGGGGACAAATTGGGGAATTTTAGATTCTCTAGAAATTTTCTAATTGGTTAATGGATGGTTTGGGTGATTTGAGTCTGTTTGCCCAATCATGGGTTTTGTTTGATTTTTCAATTAAACTTATGGTGCTTCAAAGGGTTAGTCTTAATTTAGGTTGATTTAGCTATGTATAATTGTACTTATATTAAATTTTATCAAATAAGATTCACAAGGCATTAACTTTTATTATTTTTAAATATAATAATGTCACTATAATATGTATTGGTTAGAAATTAATATTTTAAATTTTTAAATTGAAAAACTTCTAAAGAAAATTCTCCGTGTCGTTTCAATATTATAAAGGGCAAAAGGATTTTAAATTTAAAAATATTTATCAATGAGGAGTAATTTTTCTCTTTTAACTCTTATTAATTTATAAGTATTATTTATATTTTAATAAATTTTAATTATGATGGGTAAAGTTACTGCTTTTTAATGATGAAAAATTACAACTTAATTTAACAATTAAAAATAATGTGTGACAGTGTTATATATATTCATATATAGTATATATATATATATTATATCATTTAATAGGTTTTCAAAATAGAAATCGCCGAGTTTATTTTCAACAATATAAGGAACCACAATCAAATCTTAGACTGCTTGGTTCTATTACGGTCTTGAAACCTTGAACTGTTGACCACGGTTTTTCGATTTTTATTATGACCCGGTTCGATTTCAGTTTAGAACCGGGTAACTGTTGGTCATTGCCTTGCCACAGAGATGTGGGTCATGATGACTTTAACATTTCGTTGGCAATTGAAAACAGGAATTAGAAAAAACCTAGTTTTCAAAGAGAGTACTCACAAAATTTTTTTTGTAGGGACTAACAGAACACAATACAAATGAAAGAGAAGGAAAAAAGTCATTTGCCTAGGATGGAGATGGTTTTGGTGGTGCAATTTTAAAAAAACCCCACCCAATGATAGTTGGAGGGCCCCACTGGAGGAGAAACAACAATACATCTCGGAAGAGGAAATGCCAATGGGATATAAACTTTTTTCCTATTCGTTCTTAGAGAAAGTTCTGAGCAAGCAACCCTAATAAACCTGTTACTTGATAAAGACGGAGCAAAGAGTGCAGTTCCCCATGAGATGCATTAGTGATTCAAGAAATCATTTAAAAAAATCTACAGAGGTTCAAGCGTATTCTTGGTTTGTATGAACAGT